CTAGCACACATATGTAGGATAGAAATATCGGCAATAATGTCAATAGACGTTTGGTCACCATCTTATGGTCATTCTGCGCATACACAATGAATAGAATTAAAACGCCTATCAGCCTATTGGTGAGCATCTTGACAGGTGCAGATGTGTATTCAACAAAGTCAGATATAAACGGTGCGTACGAAGCGTAAGCCAAACGGAAAGATCTTGAACGAGCACTTAACTGGTCGACATTATATAAACTAACCGGAAGGCACCGCGCCGCCTGAAAGTCGCTCTCGGTGCGCATAAATATTTAGACCCGTCTAAAATCAATCTTCCAATATTGAGTTTAGTTATTTGCTTGATGCTTATACTCTTAATAAATCCCTGCGATCTCTCTGAGGGATCTCTGCGACGTTACTTTTTTTAGTTTATTTTACCTGTTAGGAAAATAAGTTCTCTTTTTCTCTCCGTTACTTCGTATGTTGTTACAGTGACTCTATCTATGTGCGATGAAGAAAACGAATAATAACATGTTTATGTAAACGACTTGTTAACAATGTATGACACTAATTTTGATAATTTACTACACGAATTGTTTTTATGAATTATCATATTTTTCTTCAATTATTTAGAAATATTTAAACAAATCTTTTTCTATTTGAGAATATCATTTGTGTGATGGCTATTGCTACATTAATGTAATAGAGATTTTTATAAATAGGAATACATTGTACATACAATAAAGACATTGTTCTACACATGTACAAAACATGTCTATAAGTTGCAAAATAAATATTGTGTGTTTAAGTCAGTTATTGAATAAAATATTTAAGTAAAAAAATTCAAAAGATTTCTTTTAAAACAGATTATATAATTGCATTGATTCGTGAATATATGCTCTGTTTTACAACTTACATATCTTATTATATTTATATTATATAATATTTTTATAATATTTTGTAAAATTTCTCAGAGACACTAATAAAAGAAAATTTTTATTTCAAATAAGAGATTTTTTATGTTATACTTTTTATGTTATGCTTTTATTGCATATGTTTTTTATATGTTATAGACATGTATGTTATAGACATTAAGCATTTTTTTATATAAATTTGAACAATATTTTTAAATTGAATTTATATATTAATAAGTAATATATTAATAAGTAAATTGTGAAAATAAGATAGATAAGAAGAACATGTTATATTAAATTCATACTTTTAAAATTTGACTTGAAAGTCTTTGAAGATTTTCTTGAAGCTCTATAAAATCTTTAATTTGCAACTTTAATTTAGTTATAATTATGTATTTTTAAAAATGTTTATTAAAAGAAATTTGTTTAAGAAGAAATGTCAAAAAAGAAAAAACACAAAGGGGAAATTATAATAATTTTGAATTATATACTGTTAATATGTAACTTGATGAATATTATGTTGAATATTAATTTTGAAATAATTACTTGTATCAAATGATATAAATAATTTAAATTTTTATTTGCCCCAGACAGCGTCTACTTTGAGAATGCCAGTTTTTAATAACATCACATGCTTTTGGAGTTCCACGTAGTCTACTGTCATCATGCCAAATGCACGCAGTCTGGCGCCTTCTTTTTCATTCATTCATTCAATAGACGATTTGCATTCATATTCGCTTATTGCAGTCATTTTAGATATTTCTGAATGTGTCGATTTTTATCTAACCGTGTTACATGTAATTAATAATCGTTAAACATTGATAATTTATTGCGATTAAGATTTTTCAGACTAGCATATGATATCGGTGCGACATGGAAAACTAACGAAAATCTTAAGAGTACGCATAACGACGTCGATATATTTAGACGCCGAACATCGTCGCCGCCACTGGTGCTTGTCGCGTTCGTCGTGTGACATAGATTTTAACCAGATACAATCGAAAATAATTTTTTTATAGAAAGTCATCGTATACATACAAATTTTTCGTTAATCTTAAAAGTTAATTTGTCTTTTCTCTCTTTTATCTTTATTTTATACATTTACTAATATTCAAAAAGTATTTTTACTGAGAGTAAATTCAGTTGCTTTATAAAATGCTTAGTTGTACATGTTGCGTTCGAAAATTCGAGAGACAAGCTTGCTCAGAACAATTTTCTAAACTTCTCTCGAAACTCATTTTGCTTTGGTCGTTCGAGACTCAATATTCTCTGGGCGGAAGGGAGATTTTTTTTCAAGGGACTAGAGACGCAGTATAATGCGAATTATATGCGAATTTTATGTTAATGGAAGCATGTACTGGGATTTGAACGATAGACGATAGGGAACTAGTATTTCGCGAAGGGATCGTTTTTGAGAGCTTTTGTAAGGGCTTACCTAAAAACGTGATGTTGTGCGGATCGTTTCAAACCCTGGTACAAAACCTTTCAGGCGCGTACTTTGCCGAATGAAACTCGCGCGGCACGCGCGACTCTAAATCCGAACGCCACTTCTCATATGGCTCATCCCGGTAGCGCATGCTCTAAACTCCCTTCCCAGATTTTCACGATCCGTCGTGGTGACGAAGAACGCTTGTCGTTCACATCGTCGTCGTGGAGTGGGAATTTAATGTGCGGTAATATTCTTGGATGATAGCAAAAATTGATTGGCGTTGATATTAACCAATTGTATAATAAATTTAAAAAATTTTGATATTTGAAGGAACTTTTTTGTGTCACTTTAATGTATACTTTATTTAAAAGTCATATTATCGAGCGAATATAATCAAAACAATCAGTACTTTGATCTTACGTTGTCAAAGGATTAGAATTGTAAAAAAAATAGAAAATTTTTTTAAAAGTCTTTTTTTAGATCTTTCTCTTTAATTTTCTAGCTTTATCTCTTACAAATTATGAAACATTTCTCTCTTTACTATTAAAGTTATGAAAGACTTCATGTGTAAAATTATTTTCTCTTAAAAAGATGAAACAATTTTTGAAAAATATTAAACCTTCTTAAGTTTTTTTTAAGTTTTTAAGTTTTTATATATTATTAATAATAATTGCAATATATTTTTTGCGATATAGTTTTTATATATTATTAATAATAAGAACGGTTTGTTTAAAAACATTTAGAATAATGTGTATATTGCAGACATGCATTTATCTACATTAAATTTAATTACGTTGATGTTCTGGTATTAAGGGTGGGGTTGAGAGAACATATTAACTTAGGTGTTAGAGAAATTACTTGCATGAGCACATAACATGAACTAAGATTGTAATCAGAGTTAAATTTATAACCATAGGCACAATTAATATGAAGTTGAAAATTACCTAGCGCTATTATTACTTAGGAATAGAAAGAAGATCATTGTTGTTTTAACGACGTAATTATTTTTCTAATTTTGTAAATTACAGAAATCTGTAATGTCATTCATTGTTTCTTAGCTTTATAGTTATAAGTTATCATTTAAAAACATTTTTTTTACAACAACCTATATACATAGATATTATGTAATAAAATAGATTTATATTTTATCAAGGGCAATATGTTATATTCATAATAATAAATATTTTTTATTTAAATATTATATTTTTATATACCTATAGGCATTATATTATGTGTAAGAATACTTTAATATATGAAGCAAATATATTTTTTTAGAAAATATTAAAATGTCTATGTTAAAGATTATGATATATTTCTTATAAATTAATTTTCTAATTACTTAGAATAGTTTAAAAGCAATATAGTATTGATAAACGATATAATTTACTAAAATTAGCATTATGATTATTGTAATCAAATAATAATCGTCGATCAATCAAGGAAAGGGATGAGATAAAGGCCATTTTATAATAGAGAGCATTTAAATGAGAATTTACAGACGATTAATTTATTTACGTTTAATATGTGTTGATGCTTGTATTACATTTTATATAAGAAGTAGAATCGCGATTGGCTGTTAACAAACTTATATTATGTCGTGACATATGAATGCAAATATGTAATAGTGTTAATGATATTTACAGTGGGTATTGTGTATGTATGCACATGTATATTTTTATATATCGTTTGTACGTACTTTTTTCTATAATTTGCATTCAGAATTCGGTAAATTGTGTTGAGTGAAATAAAATATTGAAAGGTGCTTGCAAGTATAGAAGAAAGAAACAAAATGTATTTTACGCTTCTCTTCGCTTTTACGCTCGATCTTAAAATAGTATCCACGTACAAGCTATCGGAATGTCATACATTCTTCAATACAGCGTCGAACATTCATACTTTAATTTATGCGACATTCTTTTTCGATGGTTTAAATATTAAACTGGAGAATCCCGTGTGCCTGTATTTCCTATACATTTTTCTCTTTTACAATAAAAAGAAGACTCAAAGAAATACTGCTTGGTTCACAAGGTCCGCATAAATGCGATTGAACGGGAATGCGATTGAACATTACTCGGACGAACGAACGGTAGCAGGAATAATGACATGTATTTCTTGAAAGCAATAGTATTTCTTCATAAGAATAGCAGTCTTTTGCATTCGATAGAACATTGACAATATATGTCGCGAATGCGGCTTGAAATATTTATATAGTCTAGATAATTAGAATAGTTTAGACAATTAACTCTAATTTGTTCAAACAATATTTCATTGACCTTATGGACCCCGTCAGACCAGCTAAGGAGATGACAATAAATTCAGATAAAATATATTTAAACATTTTAACTATACATCATAAATCACACATATGAAACAGTTGGATCGCGATACAAAATAGAGCAAATGATCATCACTCGCGATATCACATCTCGCAGATTATAGATGGAATGTATGAAATCTTTTCGCATTTTAACATCATTTATTTAAACATCATGCATTATTTCAACATTATTTCAAATCTTTGAATTCACCATATACGCGATGGAATTCACGTTCCTCCGAAAAAAATTCACGCATATCGATAACAATATTTGGATTGATTTCAATAAAATATTTTACACGAAACGCTACTCAATTCCATGCGACTCTGCTGTTCACTCGTTCGTTTCTTCGCATTCATTCTGATCTCATTATGCTTAACAAATGTTATGTGGGATTAGATGATAGATTATTTTTTTATTCAACAGTGGTTCGTAAAAAAAGGACAGATGTGTACACACAATTAGAAATAAGTCCTTTTTACACGTAGACTCTAAATCGTATCGTGAATTCTCATCGCAACGAATTTACAGAATCCTAGTGCTAAGAACTTTTGGCAGCGTTTTTCTCTTCCCTAAGAGATGTAGTATCGAATTTATGTTTGAAATTCGATAAAATTCAAATTTTTCTACGAATTGCCATTTTTATAATATAATTATAAGAATTGCCATTTTTTGCTGTATTTAAACGTGATTTCGTAGGTTAGTTAGGAATAATTTTTGCGGTGATTTTTATTTTCTAGATTAAACATATTTCGAATTGATCGGTCATGTATGTTTTAATTCGCATGTGAGAGAGGAAGCAATTAACTTCGCAAAGAAATTCATCACTCGGCCTTTTCGCACGCCAGGCGTTCCTTTGTTCACGTCAGAGGTGCTTTTCCAACGAAGTGCCTGTACTTGTTGCATGCCGCGTACTTGCCCTCCTCCGAAACAATCGACAGACTTGAATGTTGCCCCTGACGTCGACAAAACGCCTTCTTCGACGGCTTTTTATTTCCGTTGCCGCAGTCCAAAGCGTATCGTAATTCGCTCGCCATTTCCGAGCATACGGACTGCTGAAAATTTCATGAAAAGACGATTGCGAAAAACTCACATATTGAACCGTAAACGAGTTGTTCGGTTTAAATTCAATACATTGAAATTCGAACATTAATTTCTCCTTTGTTTGTAAAGATGCAATTGAAAGTTCTATTAATGAAAAACAATTTTTATCCGAGATATAAGCTTGAAGAAAGATTAATTCTTTTGAACGTGAACAGTTGAAAATCTATAATAAATTATTTAATTAAATATATGACAGCAGAAATGATTGAAGACAAAGATTTACACTTTATTAGTTCAATAATTGTGGATTAACGTTTCAATAAAGTCTAATAAAAAATTTCAATTGCATTTATGAAAAAATATATTACTATTTGAATGTACTTATACGTGCAAGCATATTGTATATTTAAAAATCTCAAAATTTTTAATATTGTATTGAATGAAATTTTTATAGTTTCAAGAAAAAGAATTTATATAACAACATTGACAATAAAATATATATATATGTAAAAGGTAAATAAGCTCACCTCTTGTGAATCCATGACGGGAGAGACGCAAGAAACATTGCGACACAACTAACAATGTCATACTAAACTATCACATCACGCGCATTCTCTCAATTTCATTTATGTTATAAATAATGCAACATCTCGAAATTGCATTTTCGTACAAGTTATTTCGCCGTGACACAGAGATTTGTCTATTCAATAATGAAATTTCGGAAGTCCGCGTGCTTCTTCATATGGATCGGAAATACTTTACATTGCGGCGAAAGGTACATGTAAGTGGATAAAAATTATGATTTTCTAACGTAATAATATACTTATTCTGTGAGAATATATAAATTATTAATTAAAATAGATACAAATATTTAAGTAATGGAAGATAAAATAAAAAAGTAAAATAAAAAAGAGATTAGTAATATCACATTTAATGAATCATTCTGTTTTTAGTGAAATAAAACTATTATTTTCTATCGAAAATTAAAGAAATCCAACTTAACAAAATAATATCTTTGGGTTTCAAAAAAACTTTATTTATTAATACTTAAGAGTGAATTTTATATTAATTATTAATTATTTGGAAAAAAATTTATTTCGGATATTTTTCAAAAAATCAACTAAAAGATTCACAAATTTAAAAATATAAAATTAATCGAGAGAATTTTTGCTATTTTTCTCATCTTGTATTTTTTATTACAAAATAATAAATTGTTGAAAAGTCCAATCTGGGCATTTGATAAATTCTTACATCCACTTGCTCTTTCGGATTATCACTTATGACAATATTATCATCTTGAGAAGCAAACGAACTTCCGCGCACACGATCATATATTAATTAATTCGACAGTTACATATTATGTACAATAAAACGTCTTGTAATCTGATGACACTATACATTCACTATCTAGCCAGTACAAAATCGTGATTGTTCTTAAAAGTTTTGTCCGCAGCACTATAAGTTGTAAACATTGCGACTTTTTCTTTCTTTTTCGTTTTCTTTTTTCATTTTTTTTTTTTATTATCGATTGAAACATTTTCAACTTCGCGAGGAAGGATTTAGCCTTTCCTATTGCGAGGCTTAAGTCTTTATTCATTAATCTAAGTTTTGATATGAGCAAATGGCAAATACGTTAACCTTTCTAATCTTTCTCTTTTACAGCATCTTTTGATTCTATTTATTTATTACGTATATTGTAATAAATGCACGTTTTTTTCTAAAGAGAAATTGACTGCCGTTAATCAAATTTAAGTTTGTTCTTCGTAATTATAAATTTGATATTGTATAATTCGAAAGATAGATTTTGATTATGCCATCTGTGTCACATCAGAATATTGAATGCTTTATGAATGCTATAATAATTTGATGAGAAGTATTTCTGATAAGAAATACTTCTCAAATTGTTTTCTTAAATCAAACTGTCGATGTATTTGGCAGGATTTTAGGAGGAAAATTAGAAAGGTCAAGGCTCGATGTTTCTTTTGTCCGATTATTTTCGTTTGTCCTTATATAATTTTACGATTTTTATACAGTTTTCCGATCACTCGTGATGGAGTTCTTCCTTAAGTCCACTGAACTCGGATCGGATACGCTTTGAGGTACGGCTTTAAGAATCTGTTTTTTCGCAGTGCAGCGCGTACCGTCGCTAGTGCAGATCAGTAAAACCTTCGCAGATCGGTTTCCCCGAGGATTTCTGCTTCTAGAACAAAATCAGAACGCCCGAATCAGATTCCTTATATTAGTTATTCGCAATTAGTACTTAAAACGAAAAAAAGAGATGTGCATCAATCTAATTATCTCTGATTATTTAAAAAAGCAAAGAAAAGTAAATATATAACTCGTACTTCTATCGTATTTTTTCACTGCTTTCTTGAGAACATATTAGGCATTATCTATTGTCAATTATCGTAATTTATTACTCGAAACACATTACTAATCCAATTAGGCTCCAGAAGGTATCGATTTTTTATGTTTATACACATATAAAATCCAATAAGTGTATCCAATTCAATATGTATATAATCCAAAAAGGTAATTAATACATTTGTTTTCATTACTTATTATTTTATTTATTGCGATATATCCATTGTATCGAATATCGCGAGAGTATAGTTGTATTTCCATGATGTATAAGACCTGGTTGAATCACATTGATTCAACCAGGTCTTATACATCATGGAAATGTAAGTATGCTATTCGATCTGTTCGAAAGCCGTGCTATTCATCACGGGATGCGAATCTCGTCCTGCGATCGATGTAAGCCGATTTGAATTTTTGGAGTGGACCTCGCTCACGCTTCGCGGCTTTCGCCGTAGTCCCCTGCGGAATATAACGCGGTTTGAAAAGAGGCACGGCAATACCGACCTTCCCCGTTCAGCTCTCACAGAGCTATTTACTTTTGCGTACGTAGGGAATGATCCGCGCAAAGCTGCATATTCGTGTTCCCGGACGAGTCTTCCTCAAATAGTTGTGTTTGCTTATCCCTTGAATATATGTAAACGGCACGAATACACGTCGCTTAAACGCGTGCCGGTCAACGTGAGCTACGCAGCGCGGGATTTTGCATAATTCCATTTTCCGCGCTCGACCAACACGAATTCCGCTAGAGATTTTTTCATTAAGTTAAGTTTAGTTGGCTGCGTTTCTATAGCCTATCTTCTCTCTCTCTCTCTCT